TGGGTTAATGTTATTGTTATGAATAAAACAGCGTCCATAAACTAAAAATATAAATATTAAATTAAGGGAAAATCATTTATAACTATCGTTAAAATATTTTTATACGTAGTATAGCCATGCTGCAGTTATATTAGTAGTATAGTTGTAGCTCGAGTGGGTCGGCTCAACCAGGGAAGGACCATGTCCTCACAGAATACCACCGTAAAATGCTTAATGCTGCTGTGTTTCGTGTGGTGAGTGTAGAGAACCGGAGACCCTATTTACCGGAAACGAGGCGTTCCATCTTAGTCCTCACGGGTGACAACGCATCTGCATTTTGATTTGTAATCGAGGATAGATGTAGACGTCTATGGGCCGCAGCAACCACTTACTATCAGGTGGATTGTGTGCTCGTTTGTCACCCTATCCTATATAAATAAAACTATATAAATAAAACGTGCAATTTTACAAATTTACAAATTTTTCGAATGAAAAAGTATTGTTTTAAATTTTTCGAATGAAAAAAGTATTGAAAACCAAAGGAGTATAAATGTACTCCTTTGGTTCGTTGGTTTATATTTGTAAACATATGCATTCCAACAAACAAGCACCACACCTTTCGTTTTTGCTCATACTGACCACTCTGGACAAACCGCGACCTGACTTAACTATCCTGTGAGGTGCAAATCAATGTTAGGTATGGCCTGGTTGGCGATTTTTCCGGACCGTTACGACTCAGAGACCTTCAAGAAAAGAGCTTAATCGTTTTTAAAAGGCCGGCAACGCAACTGCCATTCCCCTGGTGTTGCGTTTCTTCATGGGCGATGGTAGCCACTTACCATCAGGTGAGCCGCATGCTCGTTTGCTCCCTCTTCTATAAAAGAAAAAAAAGCTTCGATGAAAAAGTAAATCGTTGGATTCAACTCTGCTGGGTAGTGTTCAGCAGATTACGAGTAACCAGATAAGATAAGATCAGCAAGTGTAATATAATACATAATATTTTCTATTCGCCAAAGGGGCGAAAGTTAGCGTTTGTCTAATACTCACAAGCTCAAAATTCACACATGTTAAATATATTATTTACCACGTGCTCGTCGGTGAAGGAAAACATCGTGAGGAAACCTGCATGTCCGAAAAATAAGAAAAAAAAATTCGAAGACATGTGAAGTTCGCCAACACGTCAATACGTGTTGGCGAACGTGCCCCAATGGGCAGCGCGGCGGACACTTCGTTGCCCTAAAACCCTCTCAGAAATGAGGGGAGGCCTGTGCCCAGCAGTGGGACGTATATAGGCTGTAACTTTACTTTACTTTACTTTAATATACTCTAAAAAGGCAATTTATTCGTTGCAATGTGTTTTTACTTACTTACAGCCCCAACAGTCATGATATTGTTGCCACACGTGAACGCGCAAAAACAAAAATAAAATAAATCTTCCTCATTTATCCGCGTTTGAGCTAATGCATATATGACATGATTGAATGTCGATTTTATGGAGTGTCGGAGATATAAGAAATTTATAAAGTGAGTGACGAGCGTGTAGCGAGGTGGGGCGTTCCGATTTTATTTATAAGAGTGGGCAAACGATTATGCGACCTGTGTATATACTACGGTATATTTACCAGAGTGCATGACAAACAGTCTTTAGTATCCCAAATTGGTGGCCGTTCCAAACGTATAATACTGTATTCACGGCTACTTTGCATGTCCCTTGAATACATAACACGGATGTCTGTGGGGCCGGCTCAATCGGGAAGCACCACGCTTTCAAGGAATACCAGCGTAAAATAGCAGTTCATTGCTACTTTGTTTCGTATCGTGAGTGTAGAAAACCGGAGACTCCTTTTACTGGAAACAAGGCATTCCATCTTAGTACTTAGGGGTAACAATGCATCTGCATTTTAATTCGTAATCGAGGATAGATGTAGATGTCTATGAGCCACCACATCCACTTACCAACCGGTGGGCGGTGTGCTCGTTTGTTACCTTTATTCCATAAAAAAATAGTGTAAACCTTCTGAAGAGAGCGATTAATGTAACGTGCAGTGTCATGACACACATTTTTTATAAGACTGTAATGACTCACGAACTCACAGTCGACCTGTTGGTAAGTGGCTACTATAGTCTATAGCCCACGGACACCTGCAGCCAACAACAAAATAAAGTTTACAGAAAACGTCATCCCTGAAGACTAAGATTTCTGTAGTATAATGTCTGAGAGCCTGTAACTATACTCGTTTTCTATATCCTTCATAAAGGCATAGATTTTTAATGCAGTAATTCGGAATTATACTAACTTTTTCTTGTTGAACAATGAAAAAAGCGAACCACTTTTGACGAAAACGACATCCAAAAATCCTCTAAAAGCATTACTACTGTTTGAGCATTACTAGACAGGCAAATATTCACTTGTGGATGCAAAATAATAAGGATACCTTGTTTAAATTATAGGTAGATAGGCATTACACAAACAAAAATCGTTCATAATTGCAAAGGGACGTCTGCAATAGGGGTCGCTTTCAAGGATAAAGTTCCGATATTCTTTCATTATCAAGTCTTTAAGAAGCAAAGTATCAAAATACACTTTGAATTTTACTTTCTTCGCTCTTCTTCATTCAAGTTTCGCGGAAGTTGAAAATAAAATACTTAATACATATTCTAAGTACTTACTCGATCATTTTAACATTTAATAATCATTACCTACATATTTTCTTTAAATAATCGTCTGTTAGTAATCGTGTAACTTCCAATTGACTTGATCGATTGAGCTCATATTCTAATATATTTATATAGTACTAAATGGAATGATTTGCTACCACCAATTTGGTCTACGCTATCACAATCAAAGAAACGGAGGGGAAGGATTTAAGTCGTGAATTTCCCGCAAACACCTCGGAATGTAATGTGAAGCCACACTAAATGACACTAAAGTAAGGCGTATGGATTGCAGAACAGTTTGTTTGAATACAGTATGTGTTCGAAATGCAAAATCTAAAGGTGATGTCAGACAGTTCACTCGAATGAATATTCACTGGAGTGACTGCTTCGTTTTTCTTTCATTCCATGTTCACACAGCCTAGATACAGTGACTAAAAATGAACATTCACCCGCTCTTTTCTCTCAAGATGTGGTCAAATATAGTTGTGCGTATTGAAATTAATTTAATTTGCGATAGCTTAATTAAGGAATTGACATAAAATAAACAAAGAAAACGGCGTGTATAGCGGGTCCTCACCGTCTTTATTTTGTTTAATGTCTTCCTCAGTAAGATATAAGTTTAAATCGGCAAAATTAAAGATATACGAGTAGCGTTTGCCTGTACTGTTTTGTTTTTATATGCATCAATTTTGTGGTTCCAAAGTATTTTGGTTATTCCATTTAAACACCATGGCCGTATACGAGTGAACGCTCACTCTGTGTTCAGACCGTTCATTTTTCGTTCATTCGGATTGGGAGTGAAAGATGCCGAGTGCCAATATCCAACATTGTTGGATCGGTTCATTAATGAATTCATTCGGCACTTTTGTTTCATTTTGTGTTCAAACGATTCACTTTGAGTGAAAGGTGACGAATGAAAGATAAAAATGAACGAAAAATGAACTGTTTGATATCACCTTAATGCGTAGCACATAGGTAAATATCGATGACAAAATTTTTGACAAACAACTGTCAAATATTTTTAGGAAAAAATATTAACACAACAAGTTACAAACAATATCGGACAAAACTATATTTAGGAATTTTAATGCATGTAAATAAATTAAATTAAACTGAAAAATGTAGTAAATTTTAGGAAAAATGAGTTAATTGAATCTTGAAGTATTGCGTTTGTATGTTTGGGTTTCTTTTTGATGTTATTAATAACTAGTACCCATCTTTCTTATCTATTGAAATAAGTATGTTTTCTTTAAAATTCAAACTAACGTTAGAATATATCATCATTATCATCATCATTACAGCCCTTCTCAAGTCCACTGCTGAACATAGGCCTCCCCCAAAGTATGCCACAAAGCACGGTCCTGAGCCACCTGCATCCATCGACTTCCTGCATGTCATACCAGGTCGTCACTCCATTTAGTGGGGGGTCGCCCTTCACTACGCCTACCGGTACGAGGCTGCCACTCGAGAACCTTTTTTCCCCAAAGGTTGTCGGTTCTTCGAGCTATATGGCCGGCCCATTGCCACTTCAGCTTACTAATCCGTTGGGCTATGTCGGTCACTCTGGTTCTACTGCGGATGTCCTCATTTCTAAGTTCATCACGCAGAGAAACCCCGAGCATAGCCCTCTCCATAGCTCGCTGAGCGACTTTGTCCTCATACGGCCAGCAGTGAAGGACCACGTCTCAGTTCCATATGTCATCACTGGCAACACGCACTGGTTTTACAATTTCGTTTTCAGGTTTTGAGGGTTACCCAGCCGAGTTGAATCCGTCGATTGACCTCTCGGTCGAAGTTGGACTTACCTAGTCGGACTATTTGTACCAGGTAAACGTACTCGTCAACAACTTCGAGCTTAGTGCTCCCAACAACTACCGGCATAAGTGTGACATGGACATTAAACATGATCTTTGTTTTGTCCATGTTCATCTTAAGACCTATTCGTTGGGGAGGCACTATTGAGGTCATTGAGCATAGTGCTTAAGTCCTCCAGGGATTCTGCCATAAGGACTATATCGTCGGCAAATCGAAGGTGAGTGATGTACTCGCCATTGATGTTAATACCGTATATAAATTCCGTATAGATAATAGAATATATCATGAACCTCACGAATTATCTTTTGCAGGCAATTTATCTCATTTTGTGAGAATTTCTGATCTATCACTTTAGACATGAAGCATAAACGCTCCGGGAAGTTTGTAGTCTGTGATCATATCGTCGCATATGTTCTAACACCGCGAAAGTCCAAAAAATGCCAATATGACTTTCGCTTGTCATGCGATAGACAATCGAAAGACGCATCTCTAGACTAATCAGAGATTTCAACCAATGAGAGCGTTTTATTTTGAAAACAAATACACAGCGTATCTGCGTGGTGCGTGGATCGTCTTGCAAACAGCGCGTAAGTCTTACTGTACTTTCTACGGTAACAGGTGGCGACTTGTGCTCTGAAGAAGTACATCACAAATCAAGGTAAATATAATTCTTCTTTCTTTGATTTTTATGTAAAATTAAGTCTAAATATCGTGTATATTATTGTATAAAATAGGATGAAAATACTTACAGTATTTGATGAAAAAATGACTTACGCGGTGTTATGCTTGATGAAAAAATTACTTACGCGGTGTTTTTATAACGGTTTTTAATACAATTTTTTTAATTTGCAGATATCAAGACACCATGGACTACGAATCCAGTGATGATGAGGGGGTTCTTGACCTATGTAAAGAACTAGGAATAAGAATACCGCCGAAAAAGAAAAATGACAATATTACCACCAGGGATAACTTAGAAAACATTGACATTAACAACTTGCCCGTTGTTATAATACCCAACAATACCTACGTAAGCAGCGAGGTGAGTGTACATAAACTTTCCGAATTCCATAACAATGTAATGATGGTAGAAACTACAGCTCACTCGCCTATGTTACCGTCGAATGAAGAACCTATTGATATAAATTTTGCGCAAACAAGTGTACAGACCCTACATTAATGGAAGAATCAACAGACCTTGCAGTACCGATGGCGAGTCCCTTGCTTTTGAATGACGAGGTCGAAAAATATGGTGATATTAATTGTGGTCGAAAAAGATGTTCAAAGGGATGTTCAGTGAACAAAAACTGGACTAAAAATAATAACAAGAAACTTAGAATGGAGGGAAAAGAATATTTAGGGTATAGGCGAGATAGCAATGGTCCAAAGTTTAGGTACATTACATGACACTATTAGGCCAGCCCGAATAATTGGCCCTCGATGTACTTCCGAGTTTTGTAAAAAATCAAAGCTTCGTGCTTGTGATACAATACCAGAAGAGGAACGAAACACCCTTTTCTCCAATTACTGGAATAATATGACGTGGGAACAGCGTAAACAATACGTTGTATCAAATGTTCAGGAATGCCCAAAAAAGCAGGTCAAATGTAAATCATCATCATCTAGGCGTGGTGAGACCAAAGAGTATTTTTAGAAACTTCAAATGGACGTGCTCAAGTCTGCAAGCATACTTTTCTGAATACGTTCGGTATCAAAGAATGGACAGTCAGGTATTGGCTATCGATGTCTGAGCTTGGAATGGCAAATAAACCCGAACTGACTCGTAAGGTTTTAGAAGGACCCACAAAGACAGATGAGGTAGCCTTTCTTAAAGATTTCCTAAATTTCCTAAAGAGTTTGCCAAAGATGCTTTCTCACTATTGTAGAGCTACCTCTTCTAGAAAATATTTAGAGCCATAGTTATCATCGAAAACAAGAATCATCTTTTCAAAATTTATTGCGAGAAGTGTAAATCATAAAGTAAATAAATCATAAAGTAAAGAAAATAAAGAACCCGTCAGACGATGGTCTTTTGATAAATTTTTTAAAGAAAAGAATTTAAGCTTATTCCAGCCAAAAAAGGATCAATGTGACACATGCTGTGCGTTCAAAGCAGGTAATATTGGCGAAGACATCTATCGCAATCACATTAATCGAAAAGAAGCAGCTAGAGAGTAGAAAAAGAAAGACAAGGACCGAGCATTAGCAGGAAAAGCAGACGTATTTACGCATGACCTCCAATCAGTAAAGTTGTATACGATGTTGCAGGCTAGTGCATTGTACTATGAAACTAAGCTCTGTGTGCACAATTTCACAATGGTTACCCTAGCCACAAAAGATATCCATTGTTACTGGTTTGACGAGCATAATGCAGGATTGGTGGCTTCTGTTTTTGCATCATGCGTCATAGATTGCCTGAGAAAAACTCTTTCAGAAAAACCTTTTCCAATTATCCTATTTTCTGATGGATGTACATCCCAAAACAGAAACGTTGTTTTAGCGAATGCTCTTTTAGATTTAGCCATGGAATATAATGTCGTAATAACACAGAAATTTCTTGAAAAAGGTCATACCCAAATGGAGTGTGACTCCAGCCACAGTGCAATTGAATGCAGGCTTAAAAATAAGAAGACATACTTACCTTCCCAGTATGCCACTATTTCCAATGAAGCTCGGCCGAAACAACCTTTCATGGTAAACTTTTTATCATACGACTTTTTTTGACTACTCAAACAAAGCTGATTTTTTTGTACGAGTCCATCCGGCCTGGCCGAGTTGCCAACGATCCTACAGTCACAGATTTGAGAGCTTTGGAATATAACCCTAACAGCATTATTAATTACAAGTTAAGCTTTCAGGATGACTATAAAAATTTGCCCAGAAGAGCCAAAAATAATAGGACAAGACCGGGCCCAAGGACTAAGCTTTATAATAATCACCAAAAAATAAATGAATCCAAATGGAAACATCTGCAAGAACTAAAGTCAGTTATTCCGCCTGACTGTCATGGTTTTTACGATACTTTACTTCATTAAGATTGTATAATGACTGATATTGTAGTTTTGTTATTTTGATATAATATGTTTAAGTAATACTTGTCAGTATTCCATTTTGATGTAAGATATTTTATACCAAATAATTATCCAGGTTAACAAACAGTGCAATAAAGTAAAATTGTTAATCATTTGTAATGAAAAGTTAAGAAGAGTGGTTAAAAAGTTGTAGAAGAAAATGTATTATGTTTTGTTATTTTTTAAGAGGTATAAGTCTACCTGTTATTTTAATTTTAATTGAAATAAATGATTTATAAATATTTACAGTGTCTTTATAACTCAGCGTAAGTCTCCCCATAACCTTTATTTTAATGTGGTAACACCGCGTATGTCAGAAAAATAATACTTGGTGGAGCCACGTGTTTAAGGCTGCCGAAAATCTAGTTCCCCGGTCAAACCTCAAACCTATTACGCGAGATATTAACTAAAGTGGACTGTATATGCGATTGCTTCTACGCTTACGTAAAGCGACTACTATAGCATGCGGTACAATGCACTCGCTCTTCCCTAAACTAAACTATTACTTGTCGAATCGATGAAAGGAATCCTGCTTGACTAGGAAAAAAACACAGATTGGAGCGGGTTAAACTATTAGCAAGCAGGTATAATTAAGGAATATTGACTCACCGGGGTTTCTTCTTCCTGTCGATCACTATAGCGGCGACTTCCGGAACCTCCTCTGGACAGACACTTCTGGGGCCCCAGTGGTGCGTCAGGAGAGAAGCGTTGGTTCAACGACGACTGCGGCGGGAGAAGAGCCTCGCGCATCGGTCGCGCGTGTCTTATATATCCTCGGCTCGGGTGATTACGCGATGTTCTAGAATCGTCTTCTTTCCCCTCCCACCCCACCACCCCGATGTGTCGATAGGAGGGTACGAATGATATTGTTTGGAAAGGAATAATGATTCTACAAGTTCCTACCGTCAAATAAAAAACGCGAATGGTTTTCCGCGCAACCATCTCCCCCGCCCTTGAAGGATTTCCTTCAAAAAAAATAACTAAACAACTAGAGCTAAGATCGACTAACAAATAACTAACTAACGCTAAGATTACCTAAATTAAACTACAATTTCAGTCTAGAAAGCTAATTTAAATTATGGAAGAGGCAAGGGGCACAAACGGATAACAGGACGTAGGTAAGACCCAACCGTGGTCTTAACGCGAGCTATCCTAATTACTCCGTCGGAACCGGGAAAGACCTCCTCGACGATTCCTAACGGCCAGTGGAGAGGCGGCGTATTCTCCTTAGTGAGCACAACTACGGTTCCTACAGCTAAAGGCTCTGTCGCTGTGTTCCATTTTTGCCGAGACTGCAAAGTATGCAAGTATTCCATCCTCCATCGTTTTCAAAACGATTGCACTAACCGATCTAATAATTTGTGGCGTGTGAAAATGCTAAGTCTGTTCTCATCCATATCCGCGGCGGGCAGATACCTTAGAGGCGTTAAAGTCAAAAAATGTGCTGGAGTTAGAGCCAGCGGTTCCGAGGGGTCACTAGATAACGTCCGACAAAGTGGGCGGCTATTCATTACGCATTCAATTTGAGCGAGCACCGTACTTAGCTCTTCGAAGGACAAAATTTGATCTCCTATTACTCGGTATAAGTGGCTCTTTAGACTTTTAATATTAGTCTCCCAATTGCCCCCAAAATGACTCGCGGCTGGGACGTTCAGAGACCACTCAATGCGGTTCTCGGCTAGAATGTGAGCGAACTCCGAATTATAATACTTGCTAGCTAAGAGCTCATGTAGTTCCGATAGAATACGTTTTGCACCGACGTAGTTCGTACCGTTATCCGAATATAATTTACTTACAGGGCCTCTGCGCGATAGAAATCTTTTAAATGCACCCATAAAGCCTGCTGTGCTTAGATCACCAACGAGTTCTATATGCACTGCTCGAGTAGTTAGACATACGAAAATGCAGACGTAAGCCTTTGTGGATCTTATACCACGCCCGCGAGTGAGCGTGACCTTAAACGGACCAGCAAAATCAGACCCGGTGTGCGTGAAGGGCTTTACCGATTGTATCACTCTACAAGATCTAAGTTCCGCCATTTCCGGAAATGACGGCTTGGGGCGTGCCCGAAAGCAAGCTATACATCTGTGCACCCGATTGCGTATTAAACTACGTGCAGAAAGAATCCAATAATTCTGACGCAAGATCGACATCAATAAATCGGGGCCAGCGTGCGAGTTCAATTTATGATGATAATCGACTAATAAGTTCATGATATGGTCTTTACGCGGTAAAACTATAGGGTGCCGTTGGTCGAAACTCAATTGCGAGTTGGACAAGCGTCCACCTACCCTTACAATCCCATCCTGTAAAAATGGCTTAAGGCGTTGAAAGGCGCGACTACAAGCTCTATTCGATTGTAATCTTGTAATTTCTTCAGAGAAGTGCGCACGTTGAAGTTCACGTAATACTAGCGACTCGGCATAGTTGTAATCGGATGCTAAGACATACGGACGTCGCGGTAAAAGCTTCGCGAATCGACAAACGTAAATTACGCTACGCAATAATTTCGACCAAGAGGACAAGCGGTTCGCCAGAGCAAATGATTGGAGAAACCTCGCTCGAAACGTTCGCCACTAGAGCGTGTCTCTTCTCTTCCGGCGGTTGTGACACTGACGAAGGTTCGAAATCGGTTATTGGCCATTGTGAGGGATCCAAGTAAACCCAAGAAGGTCCATGGAACCAAAGCGGGTGGTCCATTATTTGCATCGGGGTGAGTCCCCGGGATAGACAATCGGCAGGGTTTTCCTTACCGGACACGTGATAAAAGTTCCGCGTTTCTAACTCGTCTTGGATCTTGGCCACTCGGTTCGCGACAAACGTATCCCAACGGTGGGGGTGAAGAATGAACCCAACATAAGGCGACGGTGGAGTCGGAAAAGGCAAATATTCTTTCTATGTGAACTCTATCCCTACATGCGCCGATAACTGTGGTAATAAGCTTGGTGAGTACTAATATTGCGCAAAGCTCTAAGCGCGCCAGAGAGACAACCTTACGGGGGGAGACTCTCGACTTAGAACTAATGAGGCTAATCGAATTTCTACCATTATTCTGGACATGGAAATATACAACGCCCCCGTAAGCCTTCTCGCTGGCGTCTGCAAATCC